AGCGCCTACACACAAAACGAGAATACAAATAAGGCGACAATAGGTACTGGAAACCCAGATTAAAACAGACGCTGCTTCTCAGCCAAAGGATTAAATGATTTCCCATCATGGAAATCACTACAACAAACTATAATTTTCTGAATTTCCTCCCATTTTCATTTCTTTAAACACTATCAAAACATGGACTTTGCCTGCAACAAATTTATTTATTTTCAAAATTATGAAAGATCTAAATCAATGAAAAATAATAATTCCGTCTTGTATTAATATTAGAAACCGTGTACAGGAATAAAAAAGTAAGAGACGAAAGTATCAGGTATCTTTGCTTGTTCACAGAAGATGTAACATACTTATGCTATCAAAAAAAGAATTTTCAATCATGGTTGCCACACTTTACAGAATATAAAAGGTAAAAGTTAAAGGAAGTGTATTTGAAATACAAATAACTGAAATGACCATTAAGACAGACACAATGGTTGCTAATAAACTGATGTTTAATATGATGCATCATTAGCACTTAGCTGTTTGCTAAATCCCATTACTGTGATAAGCAGTTTTGTTCCCTTACATGTATACAAAAAAGAAAAAGAATAATATACTCTGTAATTAATTAGAGCTTTGTTAAGTTGTGCAGGGAAGACCAAAGTCACAGACCAGCACTCAGTACAATAGTTTACAAATTTGATGAGTACACAGGGGTTATATACAGGTTAATCTGCACTCATAAAGTTGTGTATCAATTTAGCCAAACCTTTGGGGAATGTTTTTCCTTATATATTTATATTGATTTTGTAGTAGTAAGCCTATGAATCTGAGTACAACTACAATGAATATAGGTCACTTTTACACTAAATGCAATAAATCAAAGTGTATTTTCTTTTTTCATTTTTGCACAACAATTACAGATTTGACTAAAGATACTTCTATAATGCCAAACTGTATATTTTTTCTTTGATATTCAGTTACGTTTTGTTCTTTTAACTTTTTTATGGGTCTTGCTTTAAGCTGCAGACAACATCTGAAAAGTTTATTCAGATTGTAAACAGAAATGATTGGTTGACAGAGGGTAAAAAAGTACCATAACTTTAATAAATACCCCAAACAGGATTTTTTACTAGACTAAGGTTCAAAGTAAAGTAAAATGTACTCTTAAGCAAACAATAAACCAACCTGTTCAAGTATATAAAAATGTTTGTAACATAAAGAAGTGCAGTCTACCGATGAAATAACAAGGAATTAACTTCAAACCAAGACTGGAGCAATGTGGAAGAAATTGGAAATGTGATTATATTATCTATTAGGAGTAAAGCATCATGACTGTAATGCTCGTCTAAGCCTATTCTATTTTCTTTCTTCATTTCTGCTCAACCATTATAGATTTGACTAAAGATACTGCTGTAATGCCCAACTCTCAAATTCATTGACAAAACACTCTTAATATGTTTACTTTGTTATTCAATTACATCCAGCTCTTTTATCTACTTGTCTAGCCTCACACGTCCTCCTAGAAATAAATAAAAAACGAGAAGAGTTTTGGATTATTGTGTTTTTCTACCTACCAAGGATAAGACCACACTCCTCCTTTTGCGAAATAAATGCAAATTCACATAATACTGTATTTGTTGAACTTTTTACAAAGTTATAATTCTGAAGTGACATCCAAGCACCTTGTCAAAACTGTTACCCTTAGTGTGAGGTCTTTTTAGGACAGATGGATAACCTTGACTTTCTGCAACATTTAAACTGGATTTTCTTACACAGATTGGAGACAATAATAACCACGAACTAATGCTTAAAAAACAAAATTCAAACGGCTTCCAGTCAACTTTTGACGTAGCCTTAGAGTCCTGACAGCCAAAGGCAATTTTATTGATCTATCCTAGCTACACGTCCTGAACCATCTAAGGATCTACAGGAGGCAACACAAGTTCTTTAAATTGCATGCCGCAAAGCATACAACATGAAAGATGTCAGAAGATCTGTGTCTACCAATCTCTTTTTTTCTCAATGTAATGAATTTTCCCACACATTCTTTGGGCAGTGTACCACACCATGCGGAGATCATCTTGACATGGTAATGAGTTTGGATACAATGTGAATGTACAGTAGGCTTTAATACAGTAATGTAGGGGAATGGAACACAAAAAGTGGTGTAATTCTAAAATGTTCAAAGCATATATGCACAGAAATTAAAGGAGAGATTCTGCATTTTCTCCTCATAAACATCTCTTCATCTAAAATTATTTTGTATACAACAGAAATAGCAATTTTGACTTCACTGTTTTGAGGGCACTGTATGTTCACATGTTTAACACCATCTTGACTCTTCTATCATCAGTAAATATTTTCTGGGTGTTCTAGGCACTAACTATAGCGAGTAGTAAATCTTTGTCACAACATTGAGTTGTATTCAGGTCTCTATTATGGGAAAGTCCTACACAAATTACAGTCCAACACAAATCTAAACCACATTTTATATAAAATATACTAGAGATAACTGTACCAACTGTAGTACATTTCTTTTTCAGACCTGACAGAATTAAGCCAGATCTCCTAAGAATAGCTCCAGTAATTATACCATTCCTTTGAAAGCTAGATGGTGCATATCTTATCAAAGGCTATCCTCAAACCAGTTGTGCAAAAAGTGACGATTTAAGAGCGGAGATATAATTGGTTTAATTCAGCAGTGATACGTTTGTACTCCCTAACTATGTTTAGGTTTATCTAAGCATATGTATACATTTATAAACAAATGCAAGTACATAAGAATATCTTAATGTTATGTTGACTTTGACTATTGAAACCTGGAAACTACAAAATATGGTTTTAAGAGATAAGCCCATTTATTTACATTGCATCACAATAATTACAACATTCACAAATCAGTCCCTAAATTCCAATAATTTCTGGGCTCTGTGTGCCATGAAGAAAAGCCTGAAGATACAGGCTCAAAGTTATCTCAACACCCCAGAGCTCCTTTCCCAGGAAGACTCATCCTTAGCTTTCAAAATATAAATCAGCCGGCTGCAAGTCTCCTAAAAATGCTCAATTGTCTGTGCTGTAGGTTTCCTAGATTCTAGAGGTTTATAACTATTTGCATATATTATTAAATTCAAAACCACAAAGCTTGCCTAGTCTATCACGCAAGGAGTTTAAAATCTGTTAGCACATAGTCTGCATGCAGTGAAGATCTAAATGTAACGTAATAAATTCATACAGCTCCTTCCAAACAATATTTGTCTGCTCATAAAATGCCCTTGTACAGTACATTATTTTATTTAATAAAAATGTTGCTGCACTGACACATTAAAGCTATGTGTGGCCCATAACATAACAGGAAGAGTACATTAACTTGTTTTAAAATAGGCATTTTGTCTATGGTATGGGGTATGTTAGAATGCATGATCATGTAACCCAGTTTAAGTTGACTTGTGATATGCTATGAGTTTTTAGTCACATAAATATTTTCCAACATTAACTAATGTTAGTATAACTGCAACTAAAAAAAGCAGTAAGATGCAGTTTTTTACAATATTTTTAACATTATTATAAAGAAGGGGACATTTTTTTTGGTCTTTAAATTCTCCTTTTTCTGGTAAAACTTTATTTCAAACTGGTTGTGAAAATCCTAAAAAGGTCAATTCTGAGTACAGCAGTTCCATGTTAAGCTGCAAGTACATGCCTAGTCAGAAATGGGCCTGCAAATTAAATGAGCCAATGGCGCATGCAAAAGGACTACTGAGTTGTAACTCCAGCACCTCTTCCCAGCAGCAGAAAAGAAAAAAGCCTTTGATTAATAATCTTTAACACCCTGCAGTCTTTGGCAATTATGTATGTTTATAATGGTAAGGGAAATACTGCACTCTTTTGCTCTGCAAAAACATTGGACAAAATCAAAGCCAGAGGTGTTTAGTCGATAAATGTAATACAACTTTAATTACAAATAGCCCAAATTATACTGTTTGGGGTCTGCAATAATATTTTCTTTTAAGTAGAAAAAAATCAGGTTTAGAATGATATTACATCAAAACTTTGACACAATCCATCAATCCCAAGTAACAGCTCTAGTGTCTGATAGTAGGTCTGTCTCAGAGACTTCTTGCTTCTACCACTGACTCTGTAATTTGTGATTGATGGGTTTGTGGAAATTGTGTTTTGCATGATGCCTTAATAATCAAAATCCCAGGGCATAAAAGGTTTATTTCAGTATGGAAGAAGATATATAGAAAGACACTTCTGGAAGGGGAAATTAAAAAAGGGAGAGGGCTGTGCTGAGCCCCAGACTAACCTAGTTACAAGGCAGGATAACACACACTGGGGAGTGCACAATACTAAAACAATGTACCCAGAGGGAGTCCACATGAAGATAGCAAACTACACAGGGAAAATCAATATTCAAACTAGGAGCTTTTTATACTTTGATGGTGCATGAGAACAGACCAAATGTACCAATTGCCAATTACTACAGGGTGATGTGTATTCAGTTTAACAACCCTCCAATGTGAGCTAACATAAAAATAATTGAATACCACATAAACACGAAGGATTTGGGGATTGTATTATTATTGGCTGCAGCCCTATAAGAGTTCCTTTTTCTTTAAAGGCATGACTGTACAACTGCAAGAGGTTTGATCTACTAAAGATGTGTCTAAGGAAACTGGCAGATATATCCCACCAGGGGTAGACCAAAGAAATTAACATGATCCAGGGTCAGCAAATATGGAAATATAAACCTGTTCCCACACAGTCTTCCCAATTCAAGTTCTCCTGCGCTGAAAATGAGCACTGAAGTGTGAAGTTCAGCTCATTAGAGATACTCCCCATGATACGAGTCTTCAGTGAAATTAAGAAAAAAAAATATCTTTATGAAAGTAACACATGCTCATTAGTAAGGCAAACGGCAATTAGGTCACAGTGTTAGACTCAACTGGATATTTCTTTCTAATTGCACTTACTCAGCTGATGGAATGAAGCTCTACCTGAAGTGCTACTGGTCTTACCTTAGCCGAAGGACCATATTTACAGCAGTTTGGCCTTGAATGTACGGGGAATGTTCATAAGGTTGAACCTTCAAAAAACAAAAAGAGTTTCTTAGCAGGGTTTTCCGTCAATTTCCTGAAAGTTCAACAGAGACAGCCAGACAGATATTCAGTTCAAATACCGACCAGCATAACAGAAGTTTGTGTCTTTTTTTCGGGAACATTTTTGTCCCAACCGTTTTTGTTATCTGCCCAATCATTTGGAATCGTCATTGCTTTCAATTTAAGTCATGGCTACAAACCCTGTGTCCACACACGGGAAATCCAGATGGCTCCTCCCACTAGCCTACCTCCAAGTAGTTAATTTTGTTACGTGTCACTGGCTATGCAGTCCTGCACTGGAGGCACCCAGGAAGTTGCCATCTGTGATGTTTCACAGGGAGCGGAGAGAGCCCAGGTAGACTAATTTCTTCCTACCCTCTATAGTGCTCCGTTAATTGTGCCCCACCACTCGGGGAATCCAGGCCATCATCTGCTAATGACACAGCCCAGGCTCGAACCCGCGATGCCAATGTCTAGATCACAGCTCAACCTGTACTCGGGCAAGTGCCTTTACCAGCTAAGACACAAGCCCAGTTTGTGATGGAAAGGATAACTGTAGATAAAGGTTGACATTTTACAACGATCACTCATAAAATTGGGCAATTTTCTATTTGTACCCTATTGCTTGCATGCCTGCAACATGCGGCTATTTATATGTGCAGTATATTTGCCTGTGCCAGTTCTATTTTGTGTTTAGAATGTTATCAGAGATGCATTTACTCTGTCAAGACTTTGTACACACTGCAAAAATATCGTTCTATTTGCAGAAATGATGTTCATCATCTTCTGAAAATAACGTCAGAACAGCTGCACCCACGTTAAGGCCATCTGTATGTGGGGTGACATCAGGGAGATGGTAAATGTTTAATGTTTATTTTCCTTGCTCCAAGAGTAAATGCAGTATTCTTGGGATGAGTAAGGAGAGATCTGCCATTTGGTAGAGCTGGAAATCTTCGGAATATGCTGACAAATTATGTAATAAAAGTGCGGGAAGTAGTGCATTCTTTGTTATGTAAATAAAAGTAGGATAAATGCTGCAAATGACACTGGTAGTGACACTAAGGAAGAAATGACCATCGATTTTCAGAAAAGAATAAAGCTATAAAATCTTCATGCATTTAATCCCCATGCCAAAAAAGAAAAATCTGATTAAAATATGACCCAGTCCCTGTTCAAATTTTGAAAGCTCAAGGAAAAGCTTGATCTTTATTAGAACTGCTGTTTAGAATTAATAATATTTTCCATGATACAGTTTACAGTTACAATTACAGTTTAAATCCTTTATTGAAAGCCAGTATCAAAATGCTATCAATAAAATATCAAAATCTTGATGGATTAAAACATCAGAAAGTAACCCACCAAATCATGAAAAAACTGTCATTTATTAAATTCGGAAACACACCTGGGGGTGCTGAATTGACAGTCCTCCAATGGGAATGTTATTGGCGTTCACTTCATTCTGAAAAAAAAAAAATATTAACAATACCAATCACATCTGCTTCTCCATAAGCTTCACAAAAAATAAACAAAATGGATTAGGGCCTCTTCCCTGGCATGATGAAATTCCTCTAAAGGCCCTTGTTTCAGTCAAAATCAAGTTATGGCATATTAATTCCTAATTTGTAGGCTCAGTTTACAATTGAAAATGAGGAGGTTGTCATAACAAGACCGAGAACAAGAATAAGTTAATAAGGAAAGAACACTGTAAGTGCCGACATAAATATTTATGAGAAGGCCACACTAAGCATATTCTTGTGTAACTGATGAAATCTGCAAACAAACTAATAAATCTGATATTTTACGGGTCAAACCCAAGCTAATCATCTCACAGAACAAAAAGCATATAATGCATTACTGAAACAAATGTTTAAAAAATGACTTTAAGCAAGGTTCATCTACAGTCCTAATGCCATGTAACAGTAAGAGCAACCCACAAAATGTGTTTTTCTTTTACTGTCATGAACATCTTGTCATTAAAATGATGAGGTTAACTTAGTGACATGTAGCTGTTATCTTTACCTTGAAAGGTAGTTTAAACACTTCTTAAACATACACAGTTGATAACACTCATCAGAAGACCATATTATTGTAAGAGGTGACTTTAGAATGACAGAACATGCATTTACATAAGTTACTTACGGCTTCGTTTTGTTGCTGTACTCTTCGGGACTGAAAAATAACATTAAAAGATGAATTCCTCAAACTACAACAAACAAGCCAATAATACAGTTAGGCATGGTCTAATGAATTTCTTTATGCCAAGGGAAGTAATCAGAAGTGTTAGCAACTGCAAAATCATCAGAAATTGATATAAAGCAAACCACGTAAAAAACACATTGGCACAGACAACTTAGAAACACTTTGTGAATCGTCAGCATATTCACAGTGAAGACGCTTGCCTTTTTTACGGTCTGTGTAAAAGCTGATTTTTTTCAGTTACATATACCAAAGACATTTCTCATCTTTGATATTGCCAGTCAAGCATCTGCTAACTCTTTCTCAACTAGGCCTTCCAGCGATTTCCAAAATCTTTCCCACCTATTCTGGCAATCGTTTTCTCCCTTGAATAAGATAAGTAACGTTTTGCCATTAGCAGATGGTGACATTAAATGGTTAATGCAGGCAGGGAAGCATGTGAGGCAAGCATGCCAAAACATCTGAACGTTAAAGCATTCTCTGCATTGTATTTCACCACAACTTAAATCGCACAGCCCAGGAGATTCAACCAGCAAATCCAAAAAGCAAATACTTCCTCCTCAGCGCAGCCCCTCAGTTGGGAAGGATAAAATGATCCTAAAAGCACAGGACCTACCCTTCCTTGGTTAAATGCTGCCTTTCCTTCTTCACTTTTTTCATCCATCTCATCATCGCTCCATTCCCAGTCTCCATCCTCTGTCTTATGGAGATGGCCACTAGACCCAGGGACTCTTCTTACCTAGGTGATTACAAGAGACAGTTTTCCAAAGATTAACTTCTTATCCATTTCAGAAACAGGATGTCTACAACCAGCAATGGTTTCTTTTGTGCAATCTCTGGGGATGGGGGAAATCTTTCTTGAAAAGATATCTAACAAAATACAATAAAGGGTAAGATTCAGGCATCCTGCAAGCCTCATCACAGGTGCGAGCCTGGGTCATGGCACTGGGTCCCCAAGCAGTGGCGCTCTGCCAGTTGTGGGCAACTGGCTACTGGGATGGGATTGGGATCGGCCAGGGCCTTCGGTGACACCGCGACCCCCTGTGGCCACCCTCCAAAGGACTCTGAACCGCCAGCCGGTGGCTGTGGCACTCGTGACGTGTTAAAAAAAAACAAAAGGCTCATGAGATGGGTGGGTCAGAGGAGTCTACCCACACCTCCCCTTTCTCCCATGGGCAATTCTTTCAACGGGACTCGCAAGCTGAGATGTGCAAAAACACACAGTTGGCCATTTTAAATCAGGCGGATACAGCAATAACAGGTGATTGTAATAAGAGGTATCAGTGTGGTAGTTCAGAAATAACGTATGCAAATGGAAACTAAGCAAAGTTGCATAAATAAATACATATATACATACAATTATAATATATACACGGAAGGTATACATATTAAGATATGTATGTACATCAAAACTCTAGCCCAAGTTTTACTTGTCAGAGGTCTGCATGTTCTGCAGAGATTACAGCTATTCAGAGAAACTTGGCGGAGCAATTCCTACGGGAAGCATGCAAGCAACACACTAAATGCAAAAAAAAAACACAGACACCTCCAACAGGCAACGTCGGAGCAGCCTAAATAGAAGCACCCAGCATCTAACGGCTAAGTCAAAAAACAAATACCCTTCTGATGCCCTCGTGTTCTCTCTCAGAACCTGGCACCAAGGTTGTTTTCCCAGGTTTCTGCTCAGGCTCCTTGAGCAAAACAAAAAAGCATCAGAGCCATTCCCATCCACATTACCTGCAAGCTCTTTACACCCGAGAGGAAGCTGATCGCCTTGCACGTTACACACAGCAAGAAATGCACAGTACACCATGATGGAAAGGCACTGGTTTCTTAATAAAAGCACTGAGAATAGGAACATGAAAGCACAACAAGCTGCACAAAAAGAATGTTCTATAAGCTTCAAAGGCTTTCATTTACAACTGTTTTATGTTGACTTGTCTGCCTAATCATTTGGTATTGTGTATTGCTTTTGTTATGGGTTTTTCTTTTTGTTTTGGAAACAGAATAATAAATTAAACCTAAATTGCATCAGTTGTCTTTAGATGGCCTTACAGACTCAATCTCAAAGACCTTTAAAACCTGTCATTTGTACTACAGTATCAGACCACATACATTTCTAATTGTCTGCAGGAAAGATACAGAAATACGAAAATTAAGTGCCCCTGGGGGAACTGCAGCAGGTGCCAGTTCACATCACTGAATCTAGCCTGCAGTTTTTCAGGCTGCGAGTAAAAAAGGAAGGCGCTTCACATTGGTACGAACTGCTTGCGGGACTCATGGGTTTTAACCAGACTCAAATTATGTATCTTGGCTCATGCTGTAGGGCATTTCACAGCTGGTCTTGTCATTTTCATAGTCTTAAAACCATCCAAGAGCAAGTTTCAGAATGTGGAAAGGTACACGAGTCCATGACATCTCCCATCTGCTGACATTGTCCATACATTAGTTACGATAGTTAAAACTTTCTTGGTGTCTTAAAGTCTTAAAGATCTAATGCTGTAGTAAAGGACATATCACTTTTGTAAAGATCACAGTTATCTGTCTAAATTATGAATACATGTTAAATGCTAGCATGTATTTCCATTATGCTGGAAATATTAATTAAGTAAAGATATGGCATAAACAAAGGTGTCATAAAATAGTAATGTTTTAAAACTCTGTTTATAAGATTGCATGTAGTGACACTCCAAGGAAAAGAGAAGATACTAGATTATAATGTCTTTTATTGATCTGCCTTTGGGAACATCTAAAAAATGAAAAAAATAATATCAATATTCCACATACTGTGCAGAGGAAGGGTTACGGCTTTAGTGCGGTGAAAGAGGATCTACAAGGCATATACGTTTTCCTTCCCAGTTATTGCCTTTCAGTTACATAGAATTTCAAGTTATTGCAGGAGAATATCAGACTCTTGAATAAGATCATCTCGAATTCACAGTCCCTAAACACAACAATGAAGGTTATGAGCAAAAAAAATCAGGATTACACTGCTCTCTGCTGGACACTAAGCACTGACACCACTTCTCAAAAAGAGAGTAGAAATGCTCCTGTCAGTTGAATTGATTGCAAACAATTCTTACTTTGAAACAGGAAAAAGGGAAAAAAAGGCTGAGGAATTTAGAATATTGATTGTTTTGCAGGTGATTCAACAGCATCTGTAATTACATATAATACCTGCAATGATGGCTGTCAATATCTTGTATGTTACTCATAAATGCTTTAGACTGCTTAGAAAATGAAGCACATCACCCCTATTGACCTATCCAAGATATTGGTTTTTCACATATATTGGTGAAGAACAAAGCAAATAAGCAGAAAAACCGCTAACTGCAGAGTGCCTTTTTACATTAGTTAGAACAACCATGCTTCAAACCCAGTTAGAGATTAAATCCAACTCAAGTCTAGAACTCAAAAAGGCTTTCACCTTCTTAATGCTTCTTTTTGAAATTGGTTTATTTACATATCTCTACATGCAGCTGAATGTCACCAGTAAAAATGTAGACATTTCACTAAAACAAGAAAGCCATAATACTTTTGAGCTTGGCTCACCGCGTTGTACAATTAGGGACTTTCTGTGTTTATTTTTAAATCATGTGACCTCCTCTTAAACTAACCTTTGGCCAATTCAGCTTCTCATACAATACAATAATTTGTTCTCATGGATTTCACAGCTGCCTGTTCAAAATCAATATGTTGATTTCGTCCCCATGAGATATAGTACAGCACTGGATTACCAGCCCAAACTTTCAGAAAATGTGGAAAAAGACAGCATTCAAAGTGAATGACAGGGAAGCCAGGGGGCAGAGTTTAGTGGTTACGTTGCTCTTTGAAATGGATGTATTTTCTGCTGTTGGATCTTTCTTGCAAAGACTATGAATGTTGGCAGAAGAACTCTACTGAGAACTATAGTGAAAGTGACACTGACTATGTTCTGATCTCTTGAGGTCTGATACAATAGCTGACATTCCTTTGTTAACTCTTCTCACCTAATAAATTGCAAGAGACACTCAGATACAGATTTTCAGTATCTGTTAGCTCTGTGTATCAATCAATATGAAATTGAAAAAATAGGACAGCAAACTCTGCTGAACTGCTTTGTGAAAGCTAGGCTTTGGAATTTGTACACTTTACTCTATCTCTTTAGAATATTAAACATTCAATTACAATGCAACCACAATCCTTTCACTTCTATAATTAAGATTTAATTCCCAAAAGGTGTGCATTAATACACCAATGCTATACTGCCAAGAATTAGCTGAACACAGCTTCATGAGAATTTTAAATTGTTTTCAAACCTTCAAAGCACTAAATTCATTAACATTTAAGAAGACTTTTTTTTTTGTGTCTTGCAGGCACTATTTGTTTCTAAAATGTTTCTCAAATGAATGACAAACATGTTCAAGCAATCAAGAAAAGGATGATGCAGAGGAAATGGAGCCTTATAATGTCCAAGTCAAATGGATCCAAAATGTATTTTCAGAATTTGCTAAATTATTAAACATATTGTTAATGATGAGGGAGAATATCTTAAAATACCATTTATCATCTCAGAAACTGACTTTTATTTTTAGAACTATATAGTATTGTACAATGTATTTTTTTACTCCCTCAGACAGGGGGAAAGGACTACATATTCCATGACAATTTGCTATTCTATATCCAAGTGGCCAAATCTAATTCAGTTTAAACACCAACTATGGCAGATCACAGTGGGTTTTTTTACACCAGCAATTTCTAACCCAGACCCTGGGAGACTAAATGTCTTCTGGTTTTTGTTCCAGTCAAGTCCCTAATTTCAGTCCAACTGTTTTCAATTTTCTTCTTGAACAACGTTTAAATGAGCTTTCATCTCTAGAACAGTTGAATGGGATTGATAACTGGAATCAGCCATAGTGCAGTTTCTGAGCACGAGAACCAATCCCCACAATTCAGGTGTGAGCTAAAACATAGGGGAAATGTTTTTTCCTATGAGTGTCTGATACATTGTCCTTCCCATCTGTGCCTGTTCATTATAAATCAATCACCGATTAATAGCTTTTTAGACAGAGAGAGTAAACCATCACTGAAAAAGTTAAGGAGAGACTAAATCAATTTGCTGAAATTGGTAGAGCAATGCTCTTGAAGAATGGCATTTTTAAGAAGTTAAAGTCCTGAAACAGATACTAAAAAGGTCTGAACAAGCAAACAGATAAAGGTGGGAATTATCACCCCCCAATCAAATCTGAGCTGGAGGGAAAACCCTTACTTGTTAGTAGAACTTTCTTATTTTTCTCATTAAACTTCCCCTACTTGTCTTTCCCACATCCTTATAGAAATAAATCGAGTCAGCCGTTCTGGCCTTTGAAATCCTGACATCAAGATGGTTTAACATAATAAACCAATTCCATATGAGGTTTAATGTTAGTGGCATTTTGCTTTTTATGCTTGCCCTGTTTTTCTAGCAATGATTTTACTCCACTTTATTTTTTATTAGCATGGAAACATGTTACAAACCATGCCCAAAATTATTCAAACTTTTATTTCATAATGAATTCACTTAAGGGATATTCTACGGTGTTTATGATTAAATATGTACGAAAGGGATCCAGTGTATTTACTGAAGAGTAAAAAATTACCTTGGAATTAAAATGTATTCCAAATTCACTTTCATTGCTTTCTGAACAAATTGTTGGCATTGGAGTCATGCATTGAGGCTTGAAGCCACAAAACAGAATAAACAGTACAATCACATAAACAGGACTTTCACCAGATACACACAAAGTGAACCACAATATCACCCCTCTATCACCGCCCCTCAGTGAAGGTACAATTCACAGCAGGTTCTTGTTTTGGTTTGCCTGCTATTAATCATAAACAACCGCCACTGTCTGAGGTTAAACTGACTTTCACTCTTCAAACAGAAATTTAGAACTGTCTGACGTGCCTGGTCCTACATCTTTTGGCAGCGCACTAAACCAGCCTTTTCATATTCAAAACTGAAACAACTGGCTTCCACTTACCAGACCAGGCAAAGAACCAACACCCATGCACACATCAGAGTACCACTAGAACTGGGGAATGTACAGGCCCTGAGCAGCAGCTGGGTATTCACTCAAAATGTGAAATACTGATTTAAGTCTACTCATCTAGGTGGCTACACTGGCCCATAACCTACTGGAAATAATAAAATAATCTCCAAGACAACTCCTAATGATTGTAAAACACAAGTTATAGATCTTAAAAAAGATTCTGACTAAAGAAACAGAAGACAACCGGACCAGGTTCTCTTGTGGGGACACTGTGGGTAGATTGTCCACCTACAGTAGTTAATTTACTATGTAGTGGGGAGGTAACCCACAAGAAAAATCTAGGCCAATGACTCCTAAAAGCTGTCATGGTACCTGAGCAGGAGCATTTTTAGCTATGACAGGCACAGGAGTCAGCTTCCTAAAAAAGTCAAGCTTTCCAAAAGCAGTATTTAGTCATTTTCTAACCTGTACAAAAAGTCTTACTCACCGATTACAAGACATGTCACTGACTTACTATATGTGTAATATGTGTATCCCAAAAATGAACTGCACATTTAAGTGACGATTGTTTGATCATGCCAAGGTTATGGCAAGAAATACCGAGGGTGTATTACATTTTTCTACTGGTTCTGAAATTAGTCCTAGGTCTTCTATTGTTGACTTGAGATCTGTATAATGAAAGAAAATGCACATATGTGCTAGCACTTTAAATATCCACATAAACAGTATTTTTAAAACATTACCTTTTTGGCTCTTTGGGTAATATTCGGTGCTTTATGTAGCAGCTTTTCAATCAGATACTCTCTGTTCTGAAAAGCAAGAAGCATACCAGATTAATAAAAAAGTGAAAAACAGATATACACAGTACCTTTACAATTTTACCTGAGAATGGAAAGATACCTTTGCTTTTTGGAAGAACTTGCATTTCAAAAGCTCTGCAGCTGTTGGCCTGAAAAGAGGAAAACATTAAGGACATTCAAATGCAAGCGTCTTCAAACACTCAACTCCAGACTTTGAGATTTGCAAGTAATATGCCACTTGTATTTCAGAGCACAAACCTAGAGGAAAGAAGTAGGTCATATTTCTGCATTTTTCAGGGAAGTCTGGTTATTTTACCAATTTATGTATTTGTTAACACAGTAAGTGGTATGCAGAGAAACAGAAACCAGTAAATATAAAAAAAATGAGTAGCCAGGGGAATGTTGTCAAATAAACACTTTCTTAGTTGACAGTATTTTAACAGTTTCAATATGGACAAAAAGTATCTTATGTACTATTATAAATAATACATCATTTTTTTAAGTTTAAGAAGTAATCGTTTTTTTAGATAACAGAAAAAAGTTTGTTATTTTGTAAAGCTGGTAAATAAGGCTGTTACGAATATTAATTAACTCATATGTAATACCCTGGGTACATTATTTCACCTTACCATTAAGTACTGCTATATAATTTCTTCTGTATTTGACACTGTGACTCACAGCTGCAGCCATGCAAACATGTACAGGAGGTTCATTTCAGTAAATCAAATGCAGCACTCTTTTAAAGACTCTTTATCTGACTGTTCACTCCACGTTATATCAACAAACAGGTACATTTCTTAAATACAAGATTAATTTGTGCAACTCACAGATGAAGCATAGATTAAATGCCTATTTGACCACATAAGTATCCCGGTAAATCAAATACTCAACATTGTTTGATAGGTAAAGTCATGTAAACTGCAAACCTCTTTGTAGGGTCCTTCTGAAGGCACAGTGTTATTAGTTTTCTAAAGGATTTGCCGTACTTTTTTAACATTTCTTTGTCCTCCACGCCTGTTTCTAAAGTAGGGGGATCATTTTGTAATGTTAACATTAAAACCTGAAAAGCAAGAGGATAAAACAAAGGGTCATCTAACACGCATTTTTTAAACAGAGCAACAAGATAACCAGTCTTGAACTGTCACCAATAACATTAAAGCATGCAGAAACATATTAAAGTTAGTTTAAAAGTTAAACATATTAAAGGTAGTCCTCGTACCTTCATAGGTGGATATCTGTGATAGGGTGCAGCCCCTGTTGCTAATTCAATAGCTGTAATCCCAAAGCTCCAAATGTCCGCTTTGAAGTCATAGCCTCGTACCTGTGTGAACACACACATGCGAAAAAATCATATTTATTTCTTAAGATCTTCATGTTTAATCTGGATTACTATTTTGACTACGGGTAGCAGTACTATCTCACCTGTTCCATAACCTCTGGTGCCATCCAACAGGGAGTTCCAACAAAGGTTTTCCGAACTTTGTTCCTTGTAACATCTCCTCCTGTTGCTAAGAATGCACTGACGCCAAAATCTATAAGGTAAAAATATCATCTCAACTGATTCCTTCCCCACCCCTTAATTCTGAAAAAAGGTCCTTTTAATTTACATACAGATTGATAGAATTTTAAATTCTGTGGGGGGGAATCACACAAGCAGATATAGTAGTACATAAAAAAGAAGGCAACACTTTATAAAGTCATATTAGTAGTGGATAAAAAAGACTGGGGAATGATACAGTATGCAGGTCTTGAAAACAACATTATAAGCTTTACACTGATCTCTCAGAATAACAACAAATCTATATAGTGTGTTGTTAAAGCACAAATGAAACATCATTGTGTCATGATTCCAAACAAGACACACTGATACAGTAAGTAGGTGATATAAATTATGGCATTTCTTTGGTCCTGAGGAAGTTTTCAGAAAGATGTAAGTTGCACTGTTAGAGAATAACATGATAAATGGTATTTATTGCATAATTGTAGAAATGATCAACAAGGAAATTACAGTACACCAGAATCAGAGGACACATCATGCGCACTAAAATAGAGCTTCATACACCAGCATATAACATATGGGAAAAAGCTACTGTATTCGTTAAGCAAAACTGTATTTATGCTGTAAGGTCACGTGGCTATGATCCTTTTAAAACAGTTTTTCATGCTTTTCTGTACACTAAATAGGCAAATATCTAATGTTTGCATGTCAAAGCACACCGACAGCACAAAACAAAATACAGATTAGATTCTAGCAAGAAAAAGCTGTTTAATAGAGTACTCGATAATGAAACTGCAATGCAAAGTCTAAACAGGACACTGAACTTAACACACTCAGAATTTAGAAAACCACTGTGTTAAGAGTGCTTCGGTATTTTAAATAAAGGATGTAGAAAAACACATTGGTCATTTAGTTTTTCAGGGGCTATAAAATTAACTGTCCTAACTGTTTATACTCACCAGTGCATTCTGAGTATCAAAAGAAATGTACCACTTTATTTATGCTCTACTGTATGTTCTTAAAAACAATGAAGATTTTCAATATTTATTAAATTATTCTGTGATACACGTGTGCCTTTAATTGTTGAATAAACACTCCAGTGTCACTGTATTCGCCCCCTCCAGTGACCCTCCATTTTGTTGCATTTGAAAGGGTATATGCACATTTTAGACAATACATCCAACTGTTAAGGTGATCAACATTGAAATGCAAAGATAATTTAACATTATTATAAAAAAGAGAATTTAGATAATTCTGTACCAGTTACTGCTCAGTTTAACATGACAGACCTGCTATTTGCACAGAACCATCTTCTCCCAGGAGAATATTTCCAGCTTTTACATCTCTATGGTTACATGAAAAAGAAAGAGTTAGCCTTATTTCATTTCCAGGATACTACATGAATGGTGTTAAATTACAGTTATTTCCTTCATATATTTTTAACTGTTGTCACAAGCCAATGAACACAATAGAAATATTGAAAAGCTCCTGTGATATCAGTTGTTTAGGTCTTCAGGGTCTCCACAACAAATCCTCAAAGATGCATGGATGTCTACTACAAAATAAGTTTTTATATTAAACTAAAATGAAGAACTAGGAAAGTCCTTAAGCTTTGAATTGGTAACAACAAAGTTTTGAACACCAGTCACAGAAATAAATATATTTATTAAGTAAAGGTCAAAGGAATCGGAACTTTTTAATTGTAATCTATTTAAATTGTAGTTAAATAACTCTTTTAATAGTTTACTTAATCTATTAAAAAAGTGTAGTTAGAAGACCACCAATTTTAATACCATGACATTGAAGACAAATACTCTAATAAAATTCTTACCTGTGAATTTGACCATTTCTATGTAGGTAGTCTAAACCTTCCAAAACCTCTTTCAAAATTGTTGCTATAATTGGCTCATCTAGGACTCCATTTTTATGCTCTCCTTTGCTGAATATGTATTTTATGATGTCCAACATTGATCCTAAAGATCGGGTTCAAACAGAAATAATAATTATGTTAAGAAACAAATCTCTTAATTATATGCATTACATGAAAAAAACAAAGATGTCAACTGGGTATATTTACTATCTTGGATAAATAACTATGAACTCCCCTTCAAATGTAATGAACTAGGACACATTTCACCCGATTCAATGCATCATCAAGAGATGAATTCTGCACCTACAGATTCATGCTCCTGTTTGTTGTCCTTCTGTGGCAACAGAGCATAGCTCTTTCGGGTCAGCCAACATAATCAGTTTATTGCTGTGGTAAATCCTGTTCTAACTACTGGCCTGAATGGGTCTGCTTCATTAACACAAGTCACTGCTGCTCTTTATAAATTGTTTCATCAAGCCCAAAACAAGGTATTTCTTTGTGCTTTAGCCTTCATGAAACATAGTAGTACCACTTTAAGTAATGTCTCTGACAGGCTGATTCATAACAAAAATTGGCAGTCAGCCAAAGTACCAAAAGAAAAATCCATTCACAGCCATTTTACAACCTGCTAGAAAAATGACTCCATATGCAGGAACAGCATGGTTACATTTTTGTAAACAGACTTATACAGTACATAATATGTATCACTGACTGCTAAACCCCTAATGCTTTAGGACACTTGAGCTCATGTACATAATCACCTATAAACTGACAAGTACATATGACCAGATGACCGGATTACACATCATAGGTCCAGTAAATGTCACAGCGTACAATGCCAGTGGAGACAGTTAATACCCAGGGCCTCTATGACTTAATCTCAAATTTCTATTAAATTTGCAGGGTGTAATCTATGCAGTCAGGGGCTATTTCAGAAGTCCACAATTCCAATGTTTGCCATAGTGGGTCAGAACAAAGTACTAAGATATTTAGTGCCAAGCCTATATATGGCACAGATTATTTTCCCTTGGCAAAGGGTAGTAACCATTGTCGGAAATATTCAATACATCTGCCTATAATGGTGATTCATGGTGAAAGTACTCAAGAGTAATGTTATCCTCTGCAAAAGGCAGTGGTATGAGTATATGCCAAAGAAAAATACCACCGCAGTAAGAACATACCCCCACTCAGCAGTTTCATTACCAGCCAAAGCTCATCTTTTACCACAAACGATGTATAATAAGTGACTACATTTGGATGGTTGCACTGGCTCATTGCTTGAATTTCTTTCTGTTAAAAAAGGAGAAACAGGTTTAATGTGATATACACCTGTATTCAAAATTAACTTATTGTGTTACATTTAGATGACAAAGTACAACATCTGCAAAATATTAGTGTGCTACTTCATGAATGCACTGCTTTCTAATGTTATTTTTTTTTATCAGCCACCATTTTTGATCTTACTCTGCACTTTCAAACTTTCTGTCTCCCATACTGATCTCCAGCAGGGTAGCTAAAAACAAACACTGCAGCCTCTGAGTCTCTGAGACATCCTTGTGCGCTAAAACATAAACAGGCCAGTTAGTAGACAGAAAATTCAAAACGTCACCATACACCATACAAGCATCACTGATGAGAGGTTAGACAAGATCCCTCAAGACAAACACACCCAACCCATTCTTGACACTGTGCAAGTAATTAAGTGCTGTCCTAGGGCTGATGGCCTCAACCGGCAAGTATCAACACAAATTACATCCTCACCCAATTTAATAATCATCCTGCCCTGTACTCAATGTAGAGACATAAAATTGAAAGCTTGAGTACTATTTTTGCAACCGGTAGACCACACAGTACTTCATTCAGAAAAAAAGAAAAACATCGCTTGGAGAGAATTATGCAAACACCTCCTACGCAGGACCTCAAGAGGCACGTGTAAAATGCCTCAGGTCTGTGGATCGCCTCAGTAAGAAAAATATCCAAGAGTAATTTCGGTTCGGCCTGCTTTTAGACTTGCAGCTCATTTAGGAACATGGCATGTCATGGAGTATAACTGTTACAACAAAGCAGCACTGAGCAAGGTAAATCAGAGAGCATGGCTATAATACACAAGTACTGTCAAAGTTTTAAACATCATCAGCACTTGAATGGCAGAGTGAATTGTTGCTCTATTAGCTTTTTATACTAGACTTCTTAGAACTGGATTTCATCCCTGAACGATGTTTAGCACTGCTTCATTATATATATATTTGCAGAAACAGAAGGAGCACAGGGAGAATCCATGAATGAACAGATTCAGGGACAGCCAGACGATGTCCACCAAGGAACAAGGGAAAGGGACAAAAACACATTTATAATTTTACCTACCAGTAACTCATCCATACTCGTCTGGCATTTCTCCAAATTAATTCTCTTTATCGCCACACGCTCCTGTCTGGGTTTGCAAAGTGCTGCCTGCACCACAGCTGTGGCACCACTACCTAAACCATGAGAAAGAAAAAAAAAGATTTTGTTAGATTGAAGAAATATGAGAACATTCTGTCAGATCCTGTTAATGATATGATATAACTACTTCCAAACATTAGCAGGAGATGTCATGAGTGCAGTAACAAATTGTTGAAAGTCCAAACCTGACCTTAATTATATAAATACCTCTTCCTTTAATGGTTAAATCAAAGTAAAAAATAGAAAGTTGTGCTTAAATTATAACTCTTACACGGCTCAAACACATGATGTTCTTTGCCTGGCATGAAAGTTACTCTATATTATGGAATTATATCAAAAATAGTGTTCTCATTATTTACACAGCTTTTGTTTCATCAGGTGATTTTCGCTTTAGTAAAAATTATTGCCAAACACAATAAGATACTGCAGAAGCATTTGTTTTCAACTCAAATCACCAAAACCCAATACCACCTACAAATATATATGATATGTAATCGTGTTATTAAAATGTAATAGCAGCACAAATGTTTAATACTTTATTAAATCTGCATTTTTCCATTCTTCATACTGTTTTAATTTTGTTTTTACCCAAGAAAGAGTTTGATTGGGCTGCTTAAGCAACAGCTACCCTCCTAAAACAACAATATGACAGAGTATTAACCATGGAAAATAACTACTGTATTCAGATCATTTTGCACCTAAATCAGAGTATTTATGCACTTATACAACACTCAAGATGAAGTGTACTGTACTTTGTAATTATTCTCTAGTAAGCAACTCTTTGATACACTAGGCAAAATAGCAACTGGCCATGACAGGTAAGTGGGGGACGAGATTGCATATCCAAGTTTACCAAAACAAAACAGCACATGCAAAACATTAAGAGTTATTATCAGAATCATTGCGATTTTAAATCTCTGCGACAGAAAACCAAGTCAGATCTTTGGAATGTTTTGCTTGGTGGTCTCTGTATAAGAGCAATACTCACAAATGGTCTATCAGAGCTGGGATTTATAATTATTACTGCACCAACAATTGCTGATACAAACACCTCAATGTGAAATAATGACTAGATAGATTGAATGACTAATAATTTATTACTCAATAATGTATTTTTTTATATAAGCTTACATTGCTTTTGCCAACTAAGTTAAAGAAATGAATATACTGTAAAACATCTTGCAGAAGGGTATAAGGACTTAAGTCCAAAGCAAAACTTCTATACACCTTCTTCAAATACCTGTCAAATGTACATACTGGAGGGGGAATTAAAGGGATACAAAACCTATTTCTGTAGAATTTATTAAAATGTGATAAGTCTGATTAACACCTGGGGACGAGACCCGTAGTAAAGTCTCTGGGTCTAAAGAGAGCTGTAGATTATTATAAAAATGCAAAAGAGGCTGTCACACGGAATAACATTTTATCAGTATGACCTCAAGTCGCAAACTTTCATTTCAAGCTTGAGACTTGAAATGCAATACATTCCTAAACCATTGTTTTGGTGAAGGTGGGGCAGCCTGCTGCCAGGTGAACTACATCAGGCATACTTTTGTCAAAAAAGTTAGCAAAAGCCAGGGGATCTGACTGCAGTTGGTCAGAGAAATGATACTGGGCACAACACCAAAAAGTCCTAGAAGAGTGGGGTCAGTGTTAGTGCAGAGAATGATAAAACCAGGACCAAAACACGTGTTCAAAGAGAGACAGGGGATTGCAGACATCTGTCACATACCAGATCCACATCCAGACACACAATATTGAATTGAACCGGATTAACCTTTTATTGCCCCTAAGCGAATCTGTCTTGCACATCAAGAGATCATAAACATAACATATACAGTGGTGTGAAAAAGTGTTTGCCCCTTTCCTGATTTCTTATTTTTTTGCATGTTTGTCACACTTTGTTCACACAGGGCCATGTAGGGTGGGATTGTTTTCCCCCTTAATAATAAAATCCTTCATTTAAAACCTGCAATTTTGTGTTTACTTGTGTTATCTTTGTCTAATATTTCAATTTGTTTGATGATCTGAAACATTTCAGTGTGACAAACATGCAAAAAAATAAGAAATCAGGAAGGGGGCAAACACTTTTTCACGCCACTGTATATGACAACAATACAAGACAACAACAGCATAATACTATAATACAAAACAGCATTCAAAAACATTGCTTAGTTAGAACTCTTCCTGTACCATAAGATTAAAAACAGTTAAGATGCATATAAAAACTCTAAAAGATAATAAGATCTCCACCTAATATCCTAATAGCTAATTCACATAAATATTAGCTATTGTTTGGTGAACTAATTAAATAGAAAAAAATTAATTGGATCATTCCAGTCTGGCACAGAAGATGAATAAATATGAAACAACACCTTTTTAACTCCTCTTATGATAAGTTATGCAATAGATCTGTCCCCCATAAAAGCTTAAAATGGAAGTTCTTGACTGAAGTCCCAGAGGGAACCCAGCCCTGACCCTGGCTTTTCTAAATCATAATCGTTTCCAATGTCATTTCACCAAGTTGTAAATATAATACACAAACCCCTCCACTTTTTGCAATTCTTCACACATCCCTCCTCCTCCTGTGCAGCTGCTCACTTGCACCTTGATCACCCCTCACTCTGCATGGGGGTCCCGGCCTCCTTGTACTGAGATCAGACCAGGACCCTCAACCAAGGGGATTAATACCTAAACACTCAAGAAGCCTCTAATTCTCAGGTGTCTTTATTCCTTCTGAACTGTAAAAAGGGATAAAACCTAAAGTGTTAAAATGGCTGTGCACAACTGCACCATCCAGGATAGCATGGAGGCTAGAGAAGATTCTTTCTTTTATACTATATCTCCCACTTTACTACTAATCCCTTCAACAACAATCACTTAAAATGTGGGCACAGTTTAGGGGATAACTTTTCTCTGTCTTTTCTTCCACTGATGCCAATCATATTTTCCCTCCACCTTTATGAGATGAGGCCTTCTGCTTGTGGCATAAAAAAAAGATTAAATCTACTTAGGATGTGTATGTGGATCTGTCATTTGATCATAAAAAAACTTTTTTTCAGCTATACTGCATGTCCTCAACCTTTTATTGTAGCAGACTTTTCTTCCTTCTCCTTGTTACCCCTTACATCTTCTTCTAGACTCTATGCTTCAGCACAATCCTGCTTTCGAAGGAAATACACTTGCAGCATATTGTCACCATCCCTAGTGGAATGGTGTGTATTTAAGCAGATATTAAGGAATGTGACCCAAATAAAAAATCTGTTGGATTTGTCTCGAAAGTGTTCAACACGTCCGCCAAGAAGTGAAGTGAAAAAGAAACATTAGAGAATTTAAAGTTTAAAGGGGAAACAGTCTTTTAGTAAGTTACTGGACCAAAAGTGGATGCAGAGTCTGACCTGCAGAGGGAGTGGTGAGTGTCATGTAAGACTTCCCTAAACGACAAGCGACAAGATCGATCAACAGTAACAAATCCCCTTCAGTTTGTGGTGTTAAAGAAAGTGATGACAGAACAAACATTACTCAGAAACATAGAGAGTTCTTCTAAAAACTTAAAGCAATAAACGTGACAATATTATAAATATGAGTAAATAAACTATCAACAATTCTCAAACAGGCAGCTACTGTACAAAAAGGAAGGATACGCAAGGAGAAGACCGTCTTAAAAGCTGTCACTCCTTTAACTGCTGAAGGTAATCTTTATCTCAAATGCACCTTCGTCGTTTCTAACTAATGCACATTTAACTTTACGACCTCTCCACGGCTAAACTTCGTTGTCATGTCTAGTTACTGAACTGGGTTTCAACTGGATGTTGCAAGCATCCTCAACTTTAACAATGTAATGGCAATCACAAAAGATTATAGTAAAGTGATCCTTTACTATAAGGCAGCTATTTAATATCTTTACGATACCTCATCAGTTATACACTATATACATTCAATCTAATCGATTATTTAAAACACGTTTTACTGAGTGTTCATGTCCCAGACAGAAAACATATGTGAGCTGATTACATACATATTTTACTCAATGTATTACATTCTATAAAGCTCTGAATACAAAACCCAAACTTGGCCTGTTTTGGTATCATAATTTCTATGCAGACCGTAACTAGAGACGTTGTGACATCTCTCGCCTACTGTATATCGCCTGCTATTTTCAAAGGAAAAAAATACTTTCCCGAGAATGACAACTCAGTAACAAATCCAAATGATCATTAAAACCATTGAATCTTTCTTTCCACCTCAAAAGCGCGATCAGTTTCTTCCAAAATGTTAAGTAAAATACTGCGGTTATTGACATCCGCAATGCAAACCTGAGGTTTGTTACACAGAGCAGCACTGGATGTTGCATCGAAAAAGCCGGTAGGCCTTTATCGTCCTTTTCTACAGATAATCGCCGGACTTCTTAAAATCAAACACAATTCAGACCACATAAATAGGCTCCGTCAATACTAACCTATAACCTCCTGGAGCTCGTATGACTCCCTGGTAATAGGCCAGCTCGTTGTCGGTGCTGGTTGCGGATTTTGGACATGAACAGGAGAATCGCTCTGCTCCGCCATGATGCTGCTTTTCAGATACTAAACGACCTCAGACTGCAAAACTTCCCTTCACCTCCTCACTGACTCAGAATAGTGTCAGCTACTGCAGGGGATTACTACCGCTGGTGATACAAACATCCGGCAAATATCACAGACTGCCACTAAACATACTGCTTGATTGCAATAAGTTTGGTGAAAATTATTAATATTATAAAATACGTCACAACTGACTTTTTAAAAAACATCTTCATTATTGTCTCTCTTTTCAGTAGTACGTCTTAATTATTAAGTTATTCGGTGAATGTTCTAGTTGTAAAAATACAAGAGAGTCCATTACTGTAAATTTAATTGTGAGATCTGACGCCTAAAATTAAGAAAAAACATGGTAATGAAAAACTTTGACCCAAACAGATTATTACAATATATATATATTATTATATATAAAATATATATATATATTTTCCACATTTTCTTTTTGTGTAAAAATATTTACTGTATAGGGAAGATCTATTATCTTCCGGATAATCTTTGTCATGCTGTTTTGGGACCTTAATTTCCAAGGAGCTCTCCTATTAACAATGAAACGGATAGAAAGACTAAATTACGATTTGTGGATCAGAATGCAAATTGTCTACAACACATCAACACCCATTAAAGTTTTGAGGACTCCTTTCAAGAAATGAATGGAAGCTCTCTCAGATGTACTTATTGATTTTCCTACAGAGAAATAATTCAGGTTTGATTTCATTTTTCATGACAGTGTTATTTCAGGACTTTAAATAGAAAATAATTCAAGTAAATGAGAAACAAATGTCATGTGTCAGTTAGCGTTGCTCGGCTGTGCTGTTGCTTATTGTTTTGGTTCTGGAGGTCCGGTGTGTTTGTTAGCTGTATCTACAGTAAATGAGTAGCACCTGAGTAGCTGGAAGAACAAAGTTACAGTAATTTATCCAGTTACAACAGTGACTATTTAGAATATGTGTGTGTGCATTTGGGAAATTGTTAGAACCATCCAAAGGTATTCATTTCAACCATGTATAGTTACAAGGCCACCCTCTTGCTTAGCTGGTGGACGTGACTCAGCAATCTTGAATTTGTCTGTAAGAACACTTGTTGTAATCATAAAAACACCTGTGGTGGAGAAAACAGGCACTCTGTCTTGTTCCATTCAAAAATGGTTGCCCAATGTTCAGCCATGAGAGGACAAGTTAAACCCTTGTTGAAAGACCACAGGGCTGGAAATCTTTTTTTAGCATCAACACTCTTCTCACTCCAAGGTGGTCTAGGAAACCTTACCATGTTGGGCATCACAGAATCGGCCATGCTTCTGAAAAATAACCTCTGGAAGACCAATAGCTTTAGATAGAAATTCCCCACTTCTCTGTAGATTTCTATGGAGAAATGGGACATTTCTTTGAAACCTTTAGGTTATGTTTGTAAGGGGCTGGTGAGAAGAATTAATCAAAAGAGGTCAGTGGATAGTTTTCTAAAGTTCCTTTATTCAAGTTCCTGAGAACAGACACAGAAGGTCTAAAGGCCCGTTAGTTCAGTTGGGCTGAGACAGAAAGATCAGTTAAAAGAGTATGAAAGCAGTTTAATGTTAGAACATGAGAAAGGTTACAAACCAGAGGAAGCTATTTAGCACAACTGGGAGTTAGTAGCAAAGTGATCCAAGGATCCCATCCCACTGTTTCTTGAAAGAAGAGAGGAAACAGACTTGAACAACATACTGTAGTCGGGCAACTTGTTCCATATTGTCTCATCGTTTAAAAAGAAAAGAAATGCTTCCTGTTTTCGGGAAGGAGAATCGTATGTTCCCTGAATTGAATTAGCAAGATTGATGAGTAAGTAATTTAGTATTTTTAAAACAAAGTTCTGAATTTTTTTTTGCAGTTGAGTGAACAGTCAAGGTTGACACAAAGATATTGGGTGAATGCATTTTTGACAGATTTACCATTTAAAGTGCTGATAAGTTAACTACAGGCTCCTGCACTACACTGATTTAAAACATATGGTATACTGCTTTTGGATGATATATCTGAGCTGGAATTATGAACTGGAGTCTTTCTAAACTATTTCATAATTTCTAGCTATATGATTAGATGTATTACACTGATATTCCAGCAGAGGGCAACATAATCATAGAAAAGTGGAGTGAAAGAAATGTATTATGGACGTGGTTCACAAGAAAGCAGAAAGCGTGCAACAATCAGACATTGCATCAGTGATTTCTGTAACAGTTGTTAAGGACCTTGAACTAAATAAGTACCAGACTGCATATGAACATGTGTGAAGTTTTGGCTCTATCTTATATTTAAATAACAAGTTATCTTAAGCACCTGGGTTATTCTAGCAATTAAGGATAAATTAGTAATTAATTTGTTGAAGTATTCCAGGTTGAGTAATGTTATGAATAGGAAGTACCATAAGTTGAAGACACTTCATTAGACCTATAAGATGAGAGAAAGAGAGTAAAACAACGTTTTGGTTCAGTATCTAAGACAGCTTCTCCATTCATTACAATCATAATAAGAGGTAGGTGGCGCAACAGTAATGTCCCTTTAAATAGTTAAAAGCTTATATTTAAAAACATATGCACGAAGTACATTCCATTACCAGTACATGCAGTTACACTATTATACAATAGTTTCAGTATATTGAAAAAGTCCAGACGAGGCGTTGTCTGTGCGTTTAGTAAAGTGGGATATTGATACGAATTAATAAATACAAAATGATGCATAAATAACATAGAAGGTGATAATGCTGTGTAGTTAGGTTTGCTGATTATTGTTCCATATGTATCCTGTTTTATGTAGAGCCCTGGTTACTGCACCGGTTCTGTGCGAACACCTTTTGTACAGTATATGTTCTTTCCAATGTGTGACATTTCATTGCACCAATCATTTGTGGAGGAGTAGTCGACGTCTGACAGTGCCCACTTCCCCATAGCATTGGACAACGAGAGAGAGGGAAAAAAAAATCGACGGGCGGTGCTGAAACTGAACGCATCACACACTCAGACCTGCAAAGATCAGCCGTCAGAGACCATTGCAACTAAACATTAACCACTGTAAGGGAACACATAACAAGGCAGAGCAAAGCGCTAGGAAAAATCAACCAAGAAGGAAAATGGCAGGTATATTAGCATGGTTTTGGAACGAGAGATTCTGGCTCCCTCATAATGTAACCTGGGCAGACCTAAAAAATACAGATGAGGCAACCTTCCCGCAAGCAGAGGACCTGTATTTGGCGTTTCCTTTGGCATTCTGTATTTTCATGATCCGGCTGGTTTTCGAGAGGTAAGTTACTGAGTTACTGAGTTCCAGTATCGCACGTTTAGATGGACGTGCATGAAATTATATAACTATTGACAGCTCTTTCCCGAAAATTTTAACCCGTTTGACTGATGAGCGTTACAAAGTAGGAGTAGTGCAATAAAGTATTGGATCAGACAGAGGGGCACAGTCAGGCAGTGCTATGGAAATTAACCTGGATGGCAGAATCTTTGTCTCCTACGTCTGGTTAAAAGAACAATGAAGAAACCACTCTGGCGCTGTAATATAATCCAAATTAATAGCAAAGCAGTACATTTACAAATGACCAAGGTGTGTAAATGAATAACTGCACAATCCTTAATCTTTCTGTCGATGTTATTTTAACCACAATGAAATACATTTGGCCTAGCATTCTGGCAGTTGTGAGTTGTATTTGTCACTAGGGGGCGAAAGTGTGTTCTTTGTTCATACCTTTAACTTGGGATGTACAGTATTATGCCCTTTTCTAAGCAAATGCTTTCTTATTTAAATAATTCTGAGATTTGAATCTGAAACATCATGAAAATATTTTATAACCACCCTTTTGGAGGAAAAACATGATTCAGATATAATGTATTAATATAGAATGTCCTTTATGTATTTCTCAAGTGCGATGCACGGTACACTAAATATACTGTACTTCGTCCAATGCTTTGAATGCTTCCCCACGTTGTCGACGCTGTTCATCTGACCACATTTGTAGCCAATACTTAGAAAATACCATACCATTAAAATTTGTCTGTTTAAACTGTATCTGCTCGATTGACTAATTTTAGTTTATTCTAATAGATACAGTACGTGTATTTTGCACGGCGGTTCACAGAAAAGTGCAGGTGTTAAAAATAATTGTATATTTTTACATATAAATTTATACCCAAGGTATCGCGTTTAAGCATTTAACATTACGGTTCCATTTCTTTACTGTAAGCACTCTTTAAAAGTGAAGACTGTCAAAATTGTGACTGGTTGAAGATTTTTTTCTCTGACAATTCTATATGCTGTTTAAAGTTCACTCAAGGATGATATTTATGGAGATAGCCCCTTTTTCAAAGTGCCTTCGTATCGGATTATGAACGGAAATTTATTTTTTAAATGCTTTAGACTTGGTTATTAAAGTTATATACTGGTCCACTAGTTAGGGTTTCGGCTCTATGATTATCCATTAATATCCATCTTATCCATTAATAACACCTTCAGATAAATCTGAACTTCTGATTATTGAACTGTCTTGTCTGCAGTGTCAGAGGTTTTTTAAAGAAGTTTATCAAATGACCACCAATGAGACCCACAGTGTGTAGCCCTTCAGAGCTTCATCATCGTATTGTCATGATGTGTTTATTATGTTGACAGTGCAAGAAGCAATACTACACACTCATGGCTACACTGTACTAGCACTTGGAAAAGGTTTAAGAACTGCTGGAGTGATGAAAGTTTATGTTAAACAGCTGAGCATTACACAAGCAGAACCACGTCTTTCTTCATGTGTGTCCACGTGCAATCCACTAACAATTACTGCCTATAACGGTACCACATTCACAGAGTTGTGAGATGTAAACCTGGGAAAAAAAGACAATCTTGTCATAAAGCACTGTAGTGTACCTGTGCATTTAACCCGTGTGTCTAATTTTACAACTAAACAAGAGTAATAGATACAATGGTTGGCCTCTAAGTCACAGTCTTGTGTTGAGTACAGTATGCCCTGAACTTTATGGCTGGAGAATGGATTCGTGGCCTTGGTAATATTTATATGAACTTAGATAATTAAACTATTAAATCCATGCAGCCTTGTTTTTTCTTGTATTAGATTTCAGCAGATTAATGATTGTCTACCAACTGGCATTAATTCTGAACTTTTTTTTTCACCAACTCTGTGCTTTGTAGTCTGAGGATATTAGAGTAAAACCTAATATTAGTAATCAAGAAGTCTTTAGGGCCTTGGTAAAACCTTGCAGTAAAGAAGGATGCCATTATGTGCAGTCCCAAAAAGGTAATTTGTCCTCACTGTAGTATTAGAGGTAAGAATCTGTAGACATTTCCTTTCTCTAGTGCTGTTTTTGTGAAGGACAAATTATAGTCTTTCAACTGCAGAACATTTTCAACTGCATCTTTTTAAAAAATTATTTTGCTGCATAATCCAGCTGTTCCTAGAAATATGTTCATGAGAAAAACATATGTTTTACCTCTCTTTCATTACTTATTAGATTTGAAGCTTGGAATATTACTTTGGAAAATTGTTGTATACAGTACTGTGTACAATATAGCCTCTCCAATAAGAAATTACTTTTTTGGTTAGTATTTGAACTTTATTGCGGAGGGATAAATGTTATGGAAAGAAATGTTATGATGAAGTTGCTCAACCTTTGAATTTAGAATAGTGATTAGTGTGAGAAGTGAATGTGAATGCAGGTAGTTTTAAGATTTTTAATAAATATAAAAAAGTATATATACAGTATAAATGTATTGTATATAACACCATTCAACATACAAAGGAATATGTAAAATTGTTATTTAACATTGGTGCTATTCATACAGTATACTGTAGTGTTGTTTCCACTGAGCAGTTGGGTTTATTGCTTTGAAGCAGATACATTTTCTTTATGGCAGGCATTACCTTTTTAAACAACAAAGTAAACACTTTTTGTTTTTTTTGTTCCCGTATTACTATGTTAAATGTGTTCTGGCATTTTATTTTGCTGAAAAGCATAATCATTTCATAAATCACTCAGATTAAGAGTTTTTTAAGGGGGATTGTGTCATAGTAGTTCTAAGATTTTAGGAGTCTGCATTTAATTTTCAATAGGTTCCTACAACTTTTCAAATAGCTGTAATTTCCAAAGAGAATTTGAATTCCTAATATGTTGCTCTACTCTCTTTTTTGTGTAAAACGTTTGTGTTTTGTGTCAGACTAACCTCCATAAATCTTTTCACGGAAGCAATTTCAAAGGAAGAAGCACTAAAACAAGTATTTATAATTCTGTACACGGGTGATCGTAAAGGAATTTCTCTAGGGAATGGAAATATAATTTGAGGAGAGACTTTGTGAAGACAATGTGGGTAAGTCTCAACAAATCTTTGGAGCTATATAGAATGTTGCACTTAAGTAAACTTAATAGTGCTGAACTTAGCTGAAAAGTGTTTTAAAGATCCACTTCTGTCTCTGTTGTACTTCAGCATTGCAGGCGTATCTAGCATACGTCATATGAACATATAGGCTTTTTTGTTTAATAATCTGTTAGAAAAAATTACCTACTGTATTTGATGCAATTTCTTAAGGTAACTCAAGTAAAATAATTCTCTTATTGTTTGTGTGGAATAATAACCATTAAAAAGTGAAGCCAGCAACCAGTACATTATTTTGATTTCTTGAATCCTAGGGATCTCAAAAATCAAGAGTTGTGAATTCATGGTTATGAGATGGGTAAACTTGTTAAGAATGGATTTAAATTATTATTATTTTGATTCTACAGCTGCTAAGCATTACCTTTCACTTTTAGTTGTTTTGTTTCTAAAGATGTAAGCTCTGAAAATATTGTATGTTTAAATCGCAGTCATTTTAATCAATCTGAAATGAGATCACATATTATATTTAAAATTATTATATTGTTTAGGTTATGGATTTTCATCATCACTAACCCGCTTTTTGCCACTGTACTGTTTACTTATTAACATATTTCTTAGCAACACTTTAAATCTCAGTTTCTTTTGCACCGCTGAAGTTACAATAATGATCCATTTGAGAATAAATTACTTTTTAATCAAGGAACTTTTTATTTTGACTCCTTTTCATATGTGGTCCTTCGTATTATTTATGCTCCTATGGAATTTGTTTATAACTCAAAGATATTTTTAGTGCGATACTCGAGGAGCACATTTTTAATAAAAAAATATCAGCTCTTTGGTTTTAATGTAAAACAGGGAAGGAGGCTGAATAATCGCTGCATAGCAAATTGAGATCTTGTCCAAACAATCCGTAAACTATGAAACACTTGGCAAAAGAAACTATGCAAAACTGCTTTGAATTAAACCATTTTTCATGATACAGTATGTCGTTTAGCATTTGGATAGCATGTACTTTTTACTTCCATTTGAAGATTGTATATCTCTTAATGTAGATAGTTAAAGGATTGCCGTGTAAAAATCCTAAGATCCTCTTGTTTGTATAAGAAGAAAACCCTGAGTTTCTATTTGCATTTGTATTTGCTATTGTTTCTAAAATTTAGGTTAGGCCTCAAGGGTTGTGTTTTGAGAAATGTATCAAAATGACATCATGACCCATAAGTGTAAATAGAAAGAGATCAAAGCTGTGCTCAAGAAACCTGAACTATTGAATCTGGCTCCTGCTGTAGAGGGTAAAGGAACTGCAGTGTTAGAGACTGCCAATTGGCATTGATTCCCTGTGTAAGCACTTTTTGTCAATGTGCTTAGTTCCCATGTTTCTTAAGTTCTCATAACTTGTAGCTCTGCTTATATTTACTAATAAAACTATAACATCATCGTCTTAGCCTTTAACTAACTAGCTAACTTTTAACTAGCTTTTTGACAGTTGGCGTACTGTATATTGGATTGGAGTAGGCAAAGATCTTAGTTTAACTCATTAACCCTGATGTTTGAGGCTTCAAGGTAGAACTGTGTCCCAATGATGTGTGCTCCTATTGATGTATTGATTATAAAGTGGATTCTTTTTTTTTCTTTTTTATTGTCTTTTGCTGCTTCATTTTCATTTGATGGAAACATTCGGAGTTTCTGCAGCGTGTTTCTCAAACAGTCTCTTTCAGAGGGAGCAGTACTTACAGTAGGAATGTGCAAAACGCACAGGAGAGCCAGCTGGGAGATTACTGGTAAATGTCTAGGGAGTAATTTAATTAACTCCCCCTCTGTGCTGCCATTTTGCATTGGCACATTAGACAATATGTGTTAAAGGAAGTCCTCACCAGGGAACCAGGTTGCAGAATTGTAGCCTGCAGTGATGTAAGGCTAAACCTGTT